GCAAAAAAGGCAAAATTTGCATTGGTTCGGTCGGGATTTGTTTGCAAATTCGACAAACAGACGTCAAGCCAGGTTCTAATTTGACCCGTAGAATCAGTTTCCATCTTATAGTACATCCCATTAGTCATATGTTGTTGCGTCGCTGTTGTCTTTTTACATAACAGCTTGTGTACGTATTTACCAACGCTTTTGTACGGTAAAATATATTAGTAGATTAAATATTTAGTGGGCAAAATTGGCTATAATTGTAATATAAATTATCGAATATTATCCTTTAAACGCATTGTAGTAAATTCAAGAATGGTCACACTTAAGTTTAATTATAAATAGATCTATATCTAAATACAGCAAAGGAATGACAAAACCCTAGCAAATTGTAGGTTTTTGAAACAGAGTATATAATGTGAATTTTTAGTCCAACCATACTATATAGTTAACACTATAGGATGCGAAATGTTATCTCCTTTGGATGAGCATGAAATATTTTGAACACGTCAGTAAATGGGCGGAGTTTGTGATAAATTTTAGTCCGGGGTTTTTACATTTCAGGGTTTTAAGCCTGGTTCACATATGCCTGCGGTATGACTGCGCTATCTGCATTGTTTACAGCTGTTGATGCATACATTCTTTTCTGAATTATTTGGTTGAACTGCTAACGACAATAGTCCACCGCGACATACCGCAGGTATATGTGAACCAGGCTTAATTAACATGAGTCCGCGTCCGGGTTTCGGTATACATGTGCAAGTGCCAATGGGGCATTGTGGTTGGAAAAATAATAAAATGCTTGCACTTAATTAAAATGGTTTTTTCTTGTCATAACAAATGTTGTTGCCGTGCATATAAAAAGCAGGCCCGACGATACCATGATCATTACTTCCTAAGAGTAAATTCATACTCTTGTTAAGAGGAGACTTTTGCAAAATCGCGTATTGGGCGCTCAAAACCAATCAGATGCTAGAATGAGAAATTGATCGAATGAATCGAGTGATGAACATGGCGGCCAGTTTTTATATCGTGTGAGTACTTCACTGCTTGTTTTTACAAGATGACAGTTGGATTTTCATATAATTTTCTCAAATAACATAAGTATAGTATGGAAAGGATGTGCAAAAATCATAAACAAGATGAGTTCAACAGGAATCAAAGAATTACAAGCAATGCAATGTTACACAAGGGTTTGGAAGGATTTGACTATCACTGAAGCATGGTAGGTATGCATTTATTTTTCCTTATTTTTTCATATTTTACTGCCTTCGATCACAATAAATTATTTTTATACAACATTCCCTTGATATTCTAGTTTTAAAAAAATGCATCTTAAAGAGAATTGGCGTGGCTAGTTCGATGTAAATACTGCTTAATTTTCCAAGCGAGTCAAAATTTGAATTTCCACCAAATGGAGTCATTACAATCCGTATTTTGGTCGTATCTTTAAAATCAAGTGTTCAAATTACCCTAGAACTGTTTCCGATCAATCTAAGATATATTGCGGCATTTGCCCTGGGTATGCTAGTTCATAAAAATCATAATTTGATTACGTTTGAGATGGTAGATCGAAGTTTCAACATTTTAAAATCAACCAGCATTACAGTATTCACAACATGTATTTACTGTATAGCCAAGTATTTCTATCTGTTCATTGAATATAAAGTGAAATCTTATACTGTAAGCTGTATCGTAAACATAGCTCACAGTCCATTTTATATTTCTATGGTGATTATAGATTGTTTGAACATGTTATGTTTCTAAAATCCATGGGTTTTCATGTAGGCTAAATTTGGCCAATATGGAGTTCATGGGTCTAAACCTTTACCTTAAGTTTAATGGTTAAAAATTAACTGAGAACTGTTTCCGATCAATCTAAGATATATTCCGGCATTTGCCATGGGTATGCTAGTTTACAAAAATCGTAATTTAATTAAGTTTGAGGTGGTAGGTCGAAGGTCGTTTTTCAACATTTTTAAAATCAACCAGAATTACAGTATTCACAACATGTATTTACTGAATAGCCCAGTATTGCTATTTGTTCGTTGAATATAAAGTGAAATCTTATACTGTAAGCTGTGTGTAAACATAGCTCTCAGTTCATTTTATATTTCTATGGTGATTATAGATTGTTTGAACATGTTATGTTTCTAAAATCCATGGGTTTTCATGTAGGCTGAATTTGGCCAATATGGAGTTCATGGGTCTAAACCTTTACCTTAAGTTTAATGGTTAAAAATTAATTAAGAACTGTCGTTTCCGATCAATCTAAGATATATTCCGGCATTTGCCCTGGGTATGCTAGTTTACAAAAATCATAATTTGATTAAGTTTGATTTGATAGGTCGAAAGTCCTTTTTCAACATTTTTAAAATCAACCAGAATTACAGTATTCTCAACAGTATCTAATGTATTTATATTGGGTGCATAATAGAGATTTTAAGTCAGTGATGCTTCTTTATTCTATTATTCTGTTAAATCTGGTTAATTAAATGTCACTCAAATTTGTTGTGATGATTTTTAACCCAAAATGGTTACGTACATTTGGGGTGGGCCTGGTCAGGTACCAATTGCGGCAATTAGATCATGTATATACATTGTAGTACATTTTTGAAAAAATATCAGATTTTCTAAAAAGATCTTTTCTTGCAGACTATTAAAGAAAACAAGAAATGAAACAAGATGAAATGAATATTTATTAAATCACAGATTAATTATGATACAAATGTATCTATTGTTACAAAAAGTTTATAGGATGTACAAAATACTCCACAATGTACAGACATCTGTCTTCATAATCATGTCTTCCACGTTGTAAAAGTAATATCGCAGAGATCAGTAAAAAATATACTTTCATTGTTAACTCAGAGGGAAAGAAGTATTCTTTTGGGTAGTAGTGGCATAGATTTACTTGGGGGTATTGGGGGAGGGGGTTCTGTATCTGGGGTCCATAGTGATGATGCATCCTATCCCTGCTTTATGACCAGCCCCTGGTTTAGCAACCCTCGTATCACATCAAGTTATATGCATGAGGGAAAGTAGGTTGTTTCAACTAATAATTCCAGTTGCAATTGTCACCTACATCCCATATCAAATTTTGGTTTCCAATTTATACTTTAGTATTATAATACTTTATACATATACCAGTACATCATTATTCTTTATATCAGAAATGGAATTTTTAGTGATTAGCATGGTATACCTAAGCACTGCAACAGCAGAACAGCTGCATGTGTACGAAACAATGTGAAGTTTAAAATTAATGTTTTTAATATTATGGAAATATGCAACAGTACCAGAGGCAAAAAAACTGATTCGAACTTCGAAGTAAATGGATTATTTACAAATACTCAAATTCTTCCTTGAAAATTCAAACGGAGTGCTTTAAAATTTTGAATGTACCTATATTGTAAGCAAGTTAATTGTGAACAGGCCGGCCATCATTTAAAAGACGAAAGCAGTCACTTTAATCAGTTTAATATTATGATAGATGACGTCTTTGAATGAAATGCTCACTCCTGAGGGGGTAGGTATTTTTCGAGTTAAGCCCTTCGAGTTAAGCCCTTTTCGTGTTAAGCCCCTTCCACGCCCTTTTTCGCCAGGGGCTTAACTCGAAGTCAATTAACGATTTAAGCATTCGAGTTAAGCCCGACATTTGGTGGATGTAAACAAGTGACGCGTGTATACTCGCGCAAATATTGGCATATATATGTAGGGAGGGGGAATGTAAAATTTCAGGAATTTTAAGAAATATATTTTACTTAGATCTCTGTTGCTTTGCCTACAGTTTGATACAGACAATGACATCGTCAAACGAGAGAGCTCAATAAGAGCTAAATAATATATTATTTATTTTTTAAAGCCGTAATTGCCGCCCTGAATGAGCTGTTGTTTTAGTACAAATTCTTAATTAGTTCCCTCATTTCACAATTAATGTCATTGTCTGTATAAAACTGTAGGCAAAGCAACCGAGATCTTCGTAAAATATATTTCTTAAAATTGCTGAAATTTTACATTCTCTCTCGATCCTCATTTGCCAATATTTTTGCGAGTGTACACGCGTCACTTGTTTACATCCACCAAAAGTCGGGGCTTAACTCGAATGCTTAAATCGTTAATTGACTTCGAGTTAAACCCCCGGCGAAAAAGTGCGTGGCAGGGACGTAACTCGAAAAAGGCTTAACTCGGAGGGCTTAACTCGAAGGGCTTAACTCGAAAAATACCTACCCCCTCCTGAGTCAGATACATGTGCATACTTACATAATAATAACTTAAATAACAATTATTAAATACGATATTACACTCACCTTGTTATCTGTCTTTATATTTGGCAATGTTTTGCCTCGTGACAGAGCCAAATATCCAGTAAAATTCTGTTTATTTGTCTTCGCGAATTTTGGAAAATTTTCAAATCCAAGATGGCGGCGCAGCATTTTTTAAATACCTCCGATTCCGTTCACCACATTGCAAAACGGGCATTAAGGATTTGGTGGGGTTAACTGCTCGCAAACAAACCAATATTACAAAAATATAAATTATATATTAGTTAAAAACTTTTTGAAATGGCGATTATATTCCGAAATATTTTTATTGCGATGTGATTTCTAAATATACGAAGTCTAACTTGAACGAACGCATTGTAAAAAAATATTTTCATTCATCAGTAAAATAAGATGTTATTAAAATGTGAAAGGATGTAGCAGATCTATGATATATAACGATGATAGAATAGTGTATATTATGACATGCACCATCACATTTTATAGAAAAATTCAAATTCTGGATGGTGGAATGGGCCCCGTTTATGTATCTTTATGGCAACTACAAGTTAATTATTTTCTAATCACGTTTCATTCAGCATTTCTTATTTTTACCAATTCATCATTCAGCTGTTAATTCCTGATAACTAACGCATGCATGGACGTCAACATTTTTGCGACCACTATAAAAAAGTTAGAATTCCGAGTATTTGCCAACAGAACTATCAGAATTTTACCGACTGTTATGACATGCAAGGACATGATACCAACTCCAACTCCCCCCTAATCTCTAACACCCCCTCTAAAAACCCCTCTAACACCCTCTCTAGCACGTCCCTCAAACATCCACCTATAACACTCCCTTAAACACCCCCTAACACCCCTCTCCCCTCCCCCTTCATAGCTATACGTAAAAAATCGTTCTTCCTGCACAATCTCAAGACAAAACGATTGTTCCCAGCATTAATTGTTTAGTAAGACTAGGCAAAGTATGCTTTTATTGAATTTCGATCCGTGTCCAAGAGTCCAATTTTATTTTTTTCAGAGTCTGGGTTTCGATACATGTCCAATGGGCGCATTGTGGTTGGAATATAACATCCTTAATTACACTTATTGACACTTAAACTGTTGTTAAGAAATGTTGTTGCTGTGCCATATACCATACCATCATTGCCATGCATATACCGCGCTACGTTATGTAACTCCTAAGAGTGACTTACAGAAAAAAGCCATGCACCTAAGTCCCAGATGTAGTGGCGTATGTGTACTACGAGTATTTTACTTCCCAATAAAATACCCTCGCGTCCATATAATAACTAGTAATATAGGAGATAATTGAGCTTTACCGATTTTGAAGGGAATGTCGTTCCATAGGGTAGCCCCCGTATATGGAATACAATTTTAAAGATTCACTTATGGGTTTTGAAACTTAAACTATGATCATTGATCCGAGCGTAACAAGTCATGTTTGTGTATCGCAGATATTGGAGTAAAATTTCTAGTCAAGTAGCTATAGAAACCATATTGCTTAGAGTTTCATACATAAAACTTTGGAAATTTTGAAAGATCTGGTTTCAAGGTCTGTCTAATTTAGTGTTAACATTTCCTAATGTTGTAATCAGACTCAGTGTGGAAGCCCTGTTATGCCAATGCTGTAGCTTAACTTAAGACCCCAACGTATAGGTTTTTTAATCTTTAATTTTTGTAGAACTTGTGTCAAAAACATATAAATTACTCAATCACATCAACACATGCTGAAAACTTCAAACTATCCGTGAAAAAGATGATATAAGAAAATATTCATCCGTTAACAGTAAAGACAAGTAAAATATTTTAGACTAAATGAAAGCCATTTTTATTTATAAATTTTTCAAAATACCATCGCAGTTTATCATGATTTGAAAGGATCTTCAATCAGGCTATCCCCTGATAGAAGTATTTTCTTTTTTTACTATTTTTATTTAGTGCGATTTTACAATTTTAAATTAATTACACTTGTTTACATGATTTATAACACGTTGTACGAGGTATGCATTTTGAAATTACAGAGATACGGTAATGCCGCGACGGGTATATCCAGTTTCTCGAAGTCGATCCTGCGACTGTTTGCTAATCGATACATTTCGCTCCCAAGACCATCTTTATTTGTTACAGATGTATTCTCCTTCCGCTCATTCTCTGCGCCGGTAGACCTCGTATTTTACTAGGTTTTTTATTAAACTATCGCTTAGAGCATTTAAGAAAGCCTCGACAAAGAAGAGATGTGTCTCTGTATTGACTGCAAAACACCCTTCCCCACCATTTCTGGATTTATTCTGTCTGTTAATCTTGGCCAGTGGAAATTTACGCAATATATAGGTCTTCAATTTTCGAAGGTTCAATGGTTCATAATACTGAAGTCATTTTACATAAGCCGTCTATTAGAATTTTGAATTCTATTCCTTTTTGCACAGCAGTGTATTCTTCGTTGATTGACGTTGCATTAAAACTGCTCGATACTCACATCTTCTGGATAATAACATCCACTTTCGCTTCCCTTATCGTTCATAATTACGTTTTCAAACATAGGTTTTGCAAAAATTGTTTAGATTTTTCCCAGCGGGCCGATTGCGTTTCGCGGGCTGGATGTGAAAAAGGGCCCGCTGGGAAGGGCCTCTCAGTCAATCAATGCGAAATGGCACCTACAAAATTAGCATTTTGAAAATTTTCAGTCTTCCGTAAAAATTCTCTTTGCCATTTTTCTGTAATACTAATAACTAAGCACCTTCGACGTGATTAACTAATAAGAGCCATCAGATGATGTATTCTCACAACCAGGTTTTTATTTCAGGAAGATGTTTTTTATGAGAAGAGATTTTATATGTTGGTGGATTTTTCTGGTTGGGGCATTGAAAGCCGTCCAAGGAACCGTATCCAACACCAAGCATATCACTCGCTATAACAAGCTTTGCACTAGTCTTTGTAATACAAAATATAAAGGAAGCTATTGGTGCTATACAAAAGGAGCATCAGATAGTTGGGAATACTGCTTTCGATTACCAAACGAGGATATCGAAGGAAAGAAATGTAGAGCTAAGTGCGCTCAACATGGGGAAAACTATAACTGGTGTTGGCTTGTCAAAGGAAGCTGGAACTATTGCGGGCTCGTTCAAAACAGACTCCAGCGTTTCAAAACCAGATATGGCTATGATTGTATTGACGACTGCTCGTATTATCCTAGCAAAGGATATTATTACTGCAATGCAAATGAGGACTGGGACTATTGTTCTCCTAGTTATGACGCAACTATTTATGGGAAGGCATGTAAAGATAACAGCAAGTGCGCTTCTCGTGGCAAATCGTATACCTGGTGCTATACGAAGGATGGGAGTTGGGATTATTGTGGAATAATTCAATCGAATTCTTGCGAAAACACTGGAAGAAAGCGGCAGCTTGAAGAAATTTGCATGCGTAATCTAGGAAATAGAATTGATGTCGCATATCACTTACAGCGTGGGCGAATTGCTACAAATGAACTGGATGATGATCAAACAGACAGTGCCCATAGAGTCATCGCTGACGTGGACACTGCGAGAATACCACAGCAAGCACGCTCGAATGTTTTCAGAAATGACGAATTTCGTATCGATATGCAAGGAATGGTCCGAATTGACGGAGATGTACGTTACTACAACCTCCAACTACAAATAAATAGACGTCGCAGACCTGGTGAATCAACACCTTCGCCACAGTCCTGGTTCCTCAAGCTGAGTTAGGAAATCAATATATCAATACACGACGTCTCAGAAATGCATTCATCCGAAGTTTATTAGAGAGGGTAATCATCCGAATAACTGTGACTCGACCCAACCGAAGACATGACCGAAGCTTGGGAGGAGAGGATGAAAGTCTTGAAAAATACTTTGGTCAAGATGAGAAAATTGAAGAAAATGTGAATGAAGAAAATTTGGAGGGTTTCGAGTGGGAGCTAGAGTAACAGTTCCCTACTGACTGCAAACATTATTATTATCATGTACTTCCGATTAATTAAAGTAGATTTAGTTGCATATAAATATGTAAAGTGTTTGCTTGTACTAAATAAAGGTATCATGTCTTTATTATGACGTATAGCTATGATATATTTTAACAAATTTTCCAACTACAGTTTTTGCACATAGTCCTCTAATTAAAACAAACAAGAAAACACCAAAACGAACGAGAGCGAACGTTTGGGTTTAGCGAATGGCCTCTGCGAATGTTCTGTTGTGTTTTGAAAGCCGACCAATGACAATGCAGCCAGAGGCGCCGGAATATCGATAATTGGGGGGGGGGGCAGATATTCATATATTCGTGTTCTGCCCAATTAATTTCTTTTGAAATCGATTGTTTTTACAGTCTGTGAACACGAATATATGAATATCTGCCCCCGCAATTATCAATATTCCGGCGCCTCTGAATGCAGCGTGTAATTCGAATTTGAAGGCCATGAATTCAGATCGATCACGAACCCCGGAAGATTAGACATTTGTAAGTTTCAATTGGCATTTTCTGCAGGAAGATTATTGTTCAATTCTGTTAAAGAAAAGTATATTATGTAAAAATTATCGCTCTTCCGATGTAACGTAATTTGGCGACGATGCGACAGCCGAAGTTCGCGTTATTCGATTGATTTCTGTCAGCGTTTGTTCCAATTAGTCCAATTAACGGTCAAAGTGACCAGCCTTGTATTACTTCTTGCTGTTAATCCTCGTGTCAACCCCAACTATGGCCCTTAACCTCTTGTCAACGCCAATCTTGGCCGGTTCTCGTTAAAATCTTTCAGGAAACACATGTAAGTGCTTTTCATTATACTATTATATAAAGATATAACGTAATAAATTAATAACACAGGATTTTCTAATGATTTTCAATATACTATTTATATAAAGATATTACGTAATAAATTAATAACACAGGGCAATCATATAACGTATATTAGAAGAGCATGAATTTTTGAGTGTCTGAGAGTAAATTTTATTATCCATTGTTTTGACGAGGCTTCAGCTAATCTTGCTTAGGCTTCGAGACTATAGCTATATATTTATCACTTATTTACTGAGACCGAGGGAAACAGTGTGTTTTGTGGACCCGAGACCGGGGTCCACAAAACACACTGCTTTCCCGAGGTCTCAGTAAATAAGTGTTTTATTATATATCAATAGTCAAAGAAACAGCAAATTAAAGAACAAATGAACGTGAATACATGAAATATTTTATTGTTAAAACATTATATTAAACACTGGCTACACTGCAGTTACTTAAAGCGAAAGTTTTAATTACGTACTAGGCATGTCCAAAGGTCGCATCTTCACGTGATGGCGCACGTGATTTTTTTTGTTATTCGCCGGTCGATAACGTATTATCTCCACTGAGCTCTACTATATATATCTGGAGATCGTGCTCGCAAATGAAAAGTGTCCGCAAAAACATGGCGGATTTCGAGCTCCACGTCCACTATTCTCATGGTACGTTAACTGACCACAGCTCAAATGCGTGCGGGCGACATTTCCCACTCCCCCCTGACCAGAGAGCCACTGATCTTTATAATTTTTAAAAAAGGAGTACATTGGAGAAGATTTGAAATTAGTAAATATTTATAGTTACATATAGGTGTAAAAGGTTTCTTCTGAACTTTACCAACTACTATCAAGTTCAAGCTGGATCATTAATTCATTCGAGCGATTATCTCCACAATTTCTGCTATGAAATGTATAAATGATGATCCAAACAGATAATATATTGAGCTGAACGAATGGTGGTATTTTTGCCCATGTCGCATGTATGCTTTTGCAGTATCGGTAGGTGCAGACCTACAGTATTTTGTGTGGAGCCGTAGAAAATGAGTAATAAATTACTAAATTAACGAGAAATTGAAATAATTGTCATGATGGGAAACAGACTTTTGAAATTTCGAGGACTATGGTGATTCTGTTTCCATATGTTAATAAATAAAAAACAAAAGCTGAAAAGCACTACAGGTGAGGCATTTTTCAAAATTTTAATGAAACACTTGTACTGTACCATACATTCATTTATTGAAATATACTATAATTTATTACTATTATATAAGAATTCAACTCGATTACTACTTGTATATAATGCACATATCAATGGCCTGGCCCTGGGGGTACACTCCCGGGACTTTGCAAAAACATGATTCTAATGCATTAATTCCCCCTCCCTCCCCCGGGAAATGTGTAAGTCAAACTGCCCTCCCCCTGGGCTTACAATAAAGTAGTTCATAATATAAATAGCATACAAACAATTAAAAATTATTATACAAACTGGGGTATCACAATGGCACTCGTGTATTCCGTATTTATTTATTCAAATTTTAGCAAGACCACTACAAAATATCATAAATAATAAGTTGCCGATCGATATTTTTCTGTGTGAGCCTGTGATTTTGAGTTCACACCAATTATGTACTTCATTTATAAAATTCAAATTGTCATGTCAAAGTCCCCTACTTCCCCTCCCCCCATCGTCCTATTATTGCGAAGTTTGTAAGGGAGTGGTCATTATTTATGGGAGGGGGGGGGGTTGGGAAATGGGAGGGGGGGGACAAAGTTTTACCCTTATAAATAGGGGGGATCAAAACTTAAATACTATGTCTAGAGTTCTGATTTCTATAATCACAAATAGCAAAAAAGAAGACTCTGAAAATGCTATTTCCAACAATCTAGATACTCAAAATTTCCCTGCTCTGGGGTGGACATCTACAAAAAGGGGCCATACTATATTGAGTGCGGAGAGATGACAGATGGTTGTTGGTGACAAAAAGTTTGGTGTGGTATTGTATGTACTAGTAGGGGGGTCCGGGGATTCTCCCCCAGAAAATGTTTTGTATTTTTCCACCCCTAGAACTGAAATGTAAGCATTTTCTGAAACAGATTTTTGGATATACAACGTTACATTGTGTGTTGATAGACCGAATCTGATCAGTTAAGTGTATTTGCATGGTATGTTTATGTAAATACCACAACTGGGTCACTCAGGGGTTAGCAAGCTTGTTAAACTTAGTGTACCCGACTCCCATGATTGCGAGGCACTACCATGGTTGGTGCCCAGACAAGTTCTTAAAAAAACGCTGTGTTCAAATCATTTTGCTGTATGAAGACGGGTCATGGGTTAGGGTTATGGTGGGACAAATGTTGCATTGCAAAGTAGTAACACATAATATATATTTTTAATCACATATGGTTGAATCATATTCACCAGGGTAAAACCTCATGAGCTAGATTAAACAGATTGTCCTAATATCTAACTTTACATGCAATGCACACCTGTGTCATTGCTGTTAATTTTTCAATCTATACTGGGGGGTGGGGGTCAGAAAAGTTTCTACTTTTATGAGGGGGGAGACACAAAAAGTTTGCCTTCAGTCTGGAGGGGGTCAAAAAAATTTTCAATCCTTATTTTCCCCATTTCCCAACACCCCCCCCCCTCCCCATAAATAATGACCACTCCCTAATCTCCCCGGGGTTCACAGGCAGAACACACAGATAAAATACCAAATTCCCCCTCGTTTCCCCCCAGTTGTCCCAGGGTGTACCCCCCGGGCAGGCCGTTGATATGTGCATAATTCTCTTTCAAATTGTATAAAAAGTATGTTGTTCCTTTTGCATTTCTACTATACATATAATTTTAATGTATAAATTTGTGAACACAGCCATGCTTTGTTGAAACAAAACTTATGTTGGTTTATGCATGTATCATCTAAATATTTACTTCTGTTTGTATTTTTCAGATTATGGAAACTGCACATTGTTGATCATGTCTACTCACAATGTACTCTGTGCACATTATGGGGAAAGTAAATCTGCAGTAATAAATACCCAAATGTATATGGCTCTACGTTTGTCACTGGAATCATTGTTATATTCGATGGCAATTCAAGGATCTAGCACACCAAACAATTATATATTATTTTATTAAACATATTCTTATGTGCATTTATTTATTAATTTTCATTACAAATTAGATTTATTCAACATTTAAAAAGTTTAATTTAAAAATATATACAATATTATTATATTACTATTACCAGGCCATCAATAAGTATTCTTGCTTTCATACCCATGTTTTATTTTGTTAATTCCATAAGGGTATTCTCGGGTTGTCCCAAATGATACAAGTGAAACACGCACATAGCTATCGCTTTTAATAAAAGAGTACTTGATGTCATATTTACTTCAATATATTTTATTGAAGCTATATGCTGGATATAATTAGCTGATATTTCCAGTGGTGGCACCAGCAGTGGGGACACCCTCCCCCCTAAAATATTTTTCAAACCAAGAATATTTATTAATGGCCTAATAAATAAATTAAAATTAACACACAACACTCACACAACATTCACACATTATAACATACACAAAGTTACTTAGTGAATTTAATATCATGGCAATTGTGCCAATTATGTTGTTCTTGAACAACTGTCTGAGTGGGTTTTTGCTCTATTTGGGCACACAATTTTTGTATGCCTTCTTTTAAAACACATCCAGCAGACCATTTCTAGTAAATGTACAATAAATTTTAATATAGAGGGGCCACAAAAAATTTTTGACCAGTGAAGGGGGGGGGCAGAAAATATTTTGAACATAAAAGGGGGGGGCAAAAAATGAAATCTATAGTTTGTAACATGCAATATCAAAAGAGTGATGGATATATACAGTATACATACATTGAACAGTAATGCCCAATATATTGAACCTAAAAGTTGTGTTCTAGG